GGCACGCCATGGGGTATAAGGGCACGCCTTCAGATATAAGGGCACACCATGGGGTATAAGGGCACACCTTCAGATATAAGGGCACGCCATGGGGTATAAGGGCACGCCTTTGCATATAAGGGCACACCATGGGGTATAAGGGCACGCCATGGGGTATAAGGGCATGCCTTCAGATATAAGGGCACACCATGGGGTATAAGGGCACGCCTTTGCATATAAGGGCACACCATGGGGTATAAGGGCACGTCATGGGGTATAAGGGCACGCCATGGGGTATAAGGGCACGCCTTTGCATATAAGGGCACACCATAGGGTATAAGGGCACATAATGGAATATAAGGGCACGCCTTTGTTTATAAGGGCATGCTATGGGGTATAAGGGCACAGCATTGTGGCCCCTTTCTAAATAAATAAGCATACTAAAAATGTAAGTATTAAAGCCAGATTAGCATGGGACAGGGTAATTCTTCAAAGAAACTTTCATGTGGAAGACATTAATGAGATGTTGCTCATTCAGAAGGAACCATCTAGCGTCCAGCGATTTTAACACGGTAATGTAATTTGGTTAATAAAGGAAACTCATTTATAAACGGTATGTTTTGTTTGTTTTGCAGGATTAATCCTCCATTCAGGCACAATACTTTATAGGCTTATGTGTATAAAGTTACGGAGAGCTAAGTGTCGTCTCCCAAAATTAGCCGTATGAGGGATACACGTGGATATGGACAAAAAGGACTAACCCGGCGTTATTCCACGCGTCATAAATCTGTCTACGCATTAAATTCCCAAATTGTAGTATTTATGAAACTCTGTTAATTCATTTATTCAGTTTGTCTTCCATCAGTCTCTAACCATGGCGATGTAAAACGTGCTAAGGATGAATGATTTAATAGTTTTAATTATGGCATGGGCTTCAGATCTGTAAAGAGTAATGCCACTTTGCAATTTTTACTTCGAACGTGCAAATGTTTTAAACTGAATGTCCAATATTCCGAATGAAATATTTCTAGCTATACAAAACGACATATAAGCATGGCTGAGAATAAACGGCTCCAGGGGGTGAAGTGGTGTCATCCCATGCGGTAGGGACTGGGTGCGATACTGCGTCATGTATTCTCGTGAAAAGTACTTGTCGTGTTTCTCCGGACCTGCCATCCTGCAGAGCTCCATGTAATACTCACCTCGATGGGCAAATCCAATTTACACTCCAAGCGAGTCAATAGGGTCCCACGCGCGCCCACGGGATCGCATATTCCGCGCTCCCCGCGGCGGCGCGCATTTCATCTCCGCCGTTGTGTCCGAATGTCATCTTGGATGACACACGCGAGCACACTGTTTAAATGCGAGAGCCGCTCTCGCCCGGCGCTCCGTGCATGTGAAGAGCGCGCAGAATGGGAGGCTTTACTGCTTTAATGTAATAGCTTTTACGTGTGAACGCTGACAGCACTCCTCCATTTGTTCGAGACGCGCTGCTACATCCTGGCGTTAAGGCTGTATTACGGAAACCAGCTTGCTGTCTGACAAATATTTATGAGTGCAGGAAGCAGCTGTTTCTCTATTTGTAAATAACACACAGTAGCTTCGCACTTACTGGATGCGGGGGTCGAACCCCGCCTTCCTTTTGTGTGTGGAATTTCCACGTCTTCTCTGTCTCTCCACGCGTGGGATTCCACGGTGTTTTGAGCAGGTATTATTTCGGCCATTGGAGGCATCACGCAGGACCCCACATTGTTTTTTCTCTTCTTCTCTTTCCTTTAGGCTGGATGCAGAGTTCAACACTGTAGTTCTACAAAGTATTGTTGGGTTTATGGTGTAGTTGTGCGTGCATGCCGAGTAAGTATGCAGTTCATTCGTACCGCAACTATACTTTGTAACCGGAGCAAATGTTTATTGTTTTATGCGTTGGCAATCTAAAATAAGCATATCGCGCTAATCGCAGTTCGCGTTTTGCTGTATTAATGCCGCTCGGTTTAAGAGTATTGTATGGTTATTTGCGTTTTGTAATACACATGCTTAATATCATTTAGTATCTATATTTGTTAAATGCTTATAAAACTATGTTAACTGTGAGCGGTAGATATATGTTAATTCCTACATTTTTATTTATGTTTCAGTAAACCACAATTACATAATCCCCCAACGAGTATCCGGACTGTTTTATGGGTGGTGTATTAATGCGCTACTATCCAACTGTAGAATAGCCTGTCAGAGGTAGACAAATAAACCCATTGTTCTGATCGGAGAATCAGCGTCCCTTTTCTAAAACGACACTCTTTTACAGGATCTATAACCTATTTCCAGCATCTATACCCTTACTATATACTTACAGGATCTATAGCCAAACAATTTTATATGATCTACTGTATAAATTTCCACGATCTATAACCTTACTGTTTACAGGGTCTATAGCCTGTTTTCAGCATTTACAGTTGGCTCTGTGAAGGTACAGCTGTTCACATCTGACCAGAAGCTCATCTTCACCAGAGATGGTGCTGAGCTGATCGAGGAAATTATCTGGGAAGGGGAGTTCACCTTCTGAGGGCCTACGGCTCATGGTTGCGAGGGTACCCTCATCATCGGCATGCAAATACAGAGCCGCATGCCATTCCTCCATTGCTGGTTGTCTGTAGCTGTGAGCTGCCCTCAAGTAGTCATTCTCCTTCTCTACCACAGTGATACAGCCTGTGTCTGTTTACAGGGGACACTACGTGACAGTTGTACATGTACTAATAGGAGTATTGCATGTACTTGTGCTTTTTTTCTGCAACAGCAGGACTGGACTCAGAGCCAGCTGAAAGGGGAAGGCCGTAGGTTGAGCACACCCATACCTACATACATACAGTACTAAGTCAAAACTCTGGACATTCCTGCTTTTAATGCATTTGTCTCTATTTTAGCTACATTATTCATCTTATAGTAAAAGACCTCAAGGAAATTAAGTAATATGTATCAAATATTGCAACAATGAACAGAAGTGTTCAACAATTCAACATTTTCTCAGATTTTACACTCTTCTAAATACCTCATTTTGCTTCGATGACATTTAATGGCATTCTTTCAGCCAGCTTTCAGATGTACCACCTGGTATGTTTCTCCAACAGTCCTGAAAGTGTTTCCACAAGTTCTGGGTACAAGTCGCCTACCTTGCTCTTACTCTTTGATCCATCCCAGACCAGCTGCATAGGGTTTAGGTCAGAGGACTGTGGGGGCCAGGTCATCTGTCACATCACTCCACCTCTTTCCTTGCTCATAAGATAATACAGTACTTACATAACCTTGAGGTGTGCTTAGGGTAATTATCTTATTGAAAAAGAAATGATTTTCAACAGGTGTTTCCAGGCTTTTGACTATTACTGTGTGTATGTGAGCATATTTACAGTACCAATCAAAAGTTTGCACACACCAACCCATAGAAAGGTTTATCTGTGCTATTCTCTACATTTCAGAATAATTATAAAGAAGTCAAAAGTATAAAATAACAGATATGGGATTAAGCAATGACCAGAAATGTATTCTAAAAAATATATTTGTTTGAGGTGTCACGTCAAGGGCAAGGACGGAGGCGAAGGCAGGCGTGAGGGAAAACCAATAGGGGCATTATTAAAGAAAACTACGATACAAGCAGGGAAAAGGAAACACCACGAGGTGTCAAAACAGGATAGGGAGGTCAGGCAGGAACACTAGGCACAGGGCACACCGAGGAGCATGTGCAGGTGGTAACATCAATGACTGGACTAGGGAGGCACTTTATACATCACTGATGAGGGAGCAGACGGAAGGCACAGATCCACACAAGGGCTGTAACGAGAGATAATATTAAACAAGTAACAAGGGTGAGAACGCGGTGGGATGGGATGCAGGGCATGACACGGGGGACAGTTCTGTAAGAACACAGAAGGTTGCCGGTTCAAATCCTGTGGTTGGCAGAGTGATTCCGAAATTTGGTCCTTGAGCATGGGCCTGACCCTACTCTCTCCTCTATGCCAATTTCATAAGGTGGCCTCCTGGGAAGCTTTTCCACTTGCCCTGAAGGAGGTCCCACAAATGCTGAGCACTCATTGACCGCTTTTCCTTCACTCTCTGCTCAAACTCCTCCAAAATCATCTCTCTATATACACACACACACACACTATAGAATTCAGGCTGTAAAATCTGCAGAATTGAGGTGATTTGAAAGTTTAAACCAAAATTCTAAATCTAACATTCTGTAAGGAATCATTATGAAGCTGTTGGTGAGGTGGTGATGTCACTGTTTTCCTTGAAATAGTTGGAAAAATACAAAAAATAAAAATAAACATACCAAATCATAGTATACTGTAGTACTGTTATAGCGTACCATAATATGGGCAGGAAAAGAGAGACGATCCACTTGTGGCTCCGACACGAAAGGGGTTTATTAACAAAACTGAACACCAAGGGGAGAACCACAATTATAAAAGGGATCAGGTGGACCAGAATTAAACATGAGAAAAAAAAACAATAAACTAACATACAAAGGGTACTGGGCAACACCAGGGGGGTATTCCACGAAGCAGAACTAAGGGAAAGTCTGACTTATTTCGACAAGTCTGGCTCATTTAAGTGGAAATTCCGTTCCATCAACGTGTCTCAAATGAATCCCCGCTGAGCTACCATGGTAGCTTAGGTGAGTGAACAAGTCTGCAACGGACCAGGGAGGTATTCCATGAAGCAGGATTAAGGGAAAGTCTGACTTATTTCGACAAGTCTGGCTCATTTAAGTGGAAATTCCGTTCCATCAGCGTGTCTTAAATGAATCCCCGCTGAATTACCATGGTAATTTATACCTGTGAACAAGCCCGGTCTGGACCAGGCTAACTGTCTTGCTTAGTTTAGTGTTGTCTCAAAGAACGTCTGACGTGTGGGAACTATGGAATCAGATTTGTGCCAATATTATCAAGCAAAATGTTTTTGATATCAAGCAAAAACAAGGCTTCGAGAAGAAGAAAAACTAACTGAAGCAAAAGAAATGTCATCTCAAAAGTAAAAATTATAACTTGCAAACACGATTGGTCTTTTGATAATGTTTTCCTTTATTTACGCTGCCAGCTTTCTCGCTTGCGCTGTCTGACTGCGGTTACGCTGCCAGCTTTCTCGTTTGCGCTCCCTGACTTTTTTATGGCGTTAAATTAGTGCCAAAACTCGCGCGCATAAAAACCGAGTTTGTACAACAGCAAAAACAGGGACACTTACCATTAAGTGGATATATTTTTACAACAGCAAAAACAGGGACACTGAAGTTCAGTTTATATACCAGATGGATATACGAAAGTATTTTAAAAGATTGAGGGAGAAGCAGGCCGGAGAGCGGCAGGGGAGCTGATGCTGAGGGAGGATGTACAGTATGATTAAGACTGGTGGAGCTTTACAGGTAAAGAGATTATTTGTTTTGTTGTTGTCGTTTTCTTCAGGGTGGAGCCTTCTAGATTAATGAGATAAAATTAAAGAATCCTGTTTAGGTTTGTTGAAAAATTTTCAGCCCTCTATACGCGCTAATTCCTTCCTACAACCCTGGGGGTTAAACCCCCCCTTGTCTTTCAATCCTAGTGACATCCCTGGTAAAAACATAAAAAATACACACCAAACTGGGCTAACGAGAGAGTAGGAGTGAGACATGATCAAGACAATCAATCAGCATGGGCACAGGGCAACCAGTAAAAGGTGGGGCTAATTAACAATAATGAACACAGAACTGGGAGCTTAACAGACAAACTAATGCCTTGTCCACATGTACACGGGTATATTTTAAAACGTACCTTTTTCTATATGTCTTGGGCTTTTGTCCACACGTAAACAGCGTCGCAGGTCACTGAAAACGGAGCTTTTGCAAAACTCCATCCAGGATCGTTGTCCACTTTGTTTAACGTCAGAGCGTGCGCTGTTTGCTGTATACATTAGGCGAGTTTGAGCAATGGCGGACTTAGCCGAAATAGTGCTTGTGCTAACCTTGCTGACAGGACTTCTTACATGTGTACAGATAAATGTTGAGTCACTCTCGCATTACATTGATCAACATAGGCATCGGAATGTGCGCCATGGTTTTCAACTTAACAGAACTGGCAATTAGGCTTCTGATTGGCTAACATGGCAGTACGGTTAGAGTTATAATGCCGCCTGTTGTTTTGGCATGCTTTTGACAGCGCATTTTAAAGATTTGATGTGGACGGAAATTTTTTAGAAGACAATATTCGTGTGGACGGGGATTTTTTTTTAAAAGGAGGAAAAACACCGTTTTAAAAAATATCTGTGTACGTGTGGACAAGGCATTAGAGACAGTAACCAGGCTGGTGAAGTAACTAACACTAGGAAAATAAATGAGAAACCGAAGTACAAAATAAAACCAGAAAAGAACACAAGGAGGGCAAACCAAGAACAGGAAACTCAGAAAGAAACACAAGAGAACACTGAGGAACAGAAACCTAAAAATACAAAAAACATTTAAGTATAGAATAATATACTAATAGTGTAACCAATGTTAAATATTCTTTGTCAGTAGATGGGTAACAGTCCATAAAATACCGGCACTTAGACTATTAAGCTTCTGTGTTATATAATATTCATTTCAAATTCATTATATAATATTCATTATTTTTAACGTATTCATTTTTTTTCTGTTCTTCGTCTGTTCAAATTGACTTTCACTTAGCGAAAAGTTCACGTTATTGGTTTGCCTCCTGTAATATGAACACACTAAATAATCTGAATATTTTTCTGACCCTTTAAAATGACCTGTAATGCTTCCCCCTTTCATATACACACCCATGGACCAGTGTTGTCACTGCGTCTCTTCATTAAGGGTCAGTTTATTTCGCAGGAGCATCTCAATTCACAGACGTGTTGCAGTGGCCCCCAGAGCCCACAGACGAACAGGATTACTACCCTTGCTGACGTTCCTAATTTATGTTCTGGATAAAAATAAAAGCATGTATATTTTAATAGGCTCTGGCATTAGATACTATGTAAGCTATGTACTGTATTAAATCACTTATATTAGCTCATAAACTCAGAAGCATCATCCTTAGTGTTCGTCTCTGATAACAGGCCACTCGGTAAACAGAAAAACAATCAGAGAAGCCGTGGTTATTTCAGATACACAGCTATTGGGTTTCACTATGTTAACAGGAATACAGTTATGGCTAGTAAGTTTAACTAATAAGTAGTAAGTTACACGGTTTAACTAAACAGACAATCTACATCCATCCATCCATCACAAGGTCACAGGGAGGATGGTAGCCAAGTAAGGATACGTGGTAGAGAGGATAGATTTAATTTAGATCCACCCTCTTGCCCATCAACTACTCCAGCACAAGGTGGGGGGAGTGGGGGGGGGACACAAAGGTTACCCCCCGCCAGGATGACAGCCCTTTGCAGTAAACATTCACACGCCATTCATTCACTTTCGCTTTCTCTTCATGCCATGGCAAAAACAGAACATGCACACCATAGTTAAAAGCGAAGGATGACTAAAATGGCGACATTGCCGGGGCCCCTGCCGTTTAATGCTGGTGTGTGTGCCACATTATAGCCGTGACACCAGCTGTTGTGTCACCAGCTACTGTGGCCAAACACTTTGTGCCTGTCACTCCCAATCTAATGAGCACGTCAGAGTGACAGAGCAGAGTGTAATAATGCAGTAAGAGGCATCAACATCTTCCAAAAAAATTTGTTCATTCCCCATGACTTTCCCTTTTAATGTCGGGCTGTTTCTCTCTGCCGCCGAGTAGTATGGCTATACTGTACGTGTCCTTCAAGATGCAAAACTTGCACTTCAATTTGTCCTCATTCAGAGCTTAATTGTGCCGGGCTACCAGCTAATTAAATGTTCAGGGGAGTGATAAATTAGGCAGGTCGATCATAACAGCTACAGTAATTAGTCTGATGTGCCAAAGAGAGGCCCCACACCCCACAGCAGTGGTAGCCCTGTCGTGGGCTCTTTGCGTGACACCCACACGAGTCGTTCATCCCCAGAAATGGTTTTTCCGCAAAGTGTCGCCAGGGCCCGCAGCCGGAGAGCCTGAAGCACGCCCTCCAGCGCATTTCCTGTGCGGGAGCAGGAACTGAAGTGTAGCTGAGGGTTTTTCTGTTAAATGTTACATGTAGTGACCCTGGATAATGCTACAGTAACATCGCTCACATCACTAATGCGTAAACCAGACTGTGTGATTGTATTTCTGTATAAGTCTGTGTGTGTGGAGCACGTGTCCCAGACCTGTGAAGAGAACGAGACGCTTTGCTGTGGAGATATGAGCGAAGAGATGTTTCCCCCGAAAGCAGCTCGCTGGCACTTTGCTACATATCGGGGCTGATATTGAAGCGCCAGGACCATTGGCTTTGCCAGAGCCGTCAGACGGGTAGAGAGTCAGCCGGCTGTCATGTATCTGCTCCCGTCCACATCCAGCAGGCCTGGCGTTACCATGACGGCCAAAGCGGAGCTTTCACCGGCTTGCTGCCGCCGGCGCTCTGACGTTATTCCTCAGCAGAGCCGGATGGTGCTTGGCATTCCCCGGGCGACAGAGCTGTCAAAAGACGACTTGGAAGCAGGGGCTCGGAAGCGAGCCTGTTTATGGCTCCCAGGAGAGCATTACAGGCCCAGGGAGGGGGGTGATGCTGTCAGTTGGGGCCATACCTCAGAATCGTGGCCTTCATCCGGCCTGGAGGAGGCACCGTAACATCTTAACCAGCCTTAGAGACTGGAAACACATAATGATCAACCCTGTATCTCCTTTAGGAGTAGAATGCTCCGTCTCAATATTCCTTATCAAGGCAGTGTGCAGTTCAGCGACTTAAAGATTTATACGTTGTGGGTTCGAATCCCGCGACCAGCAGAATAATCATCTTTGCCGGCTCACCCTGTGCTCTGACCCCAAAACATACTTTCACCTGTATATACATGCATGTCTGTGTCTCTCATAGAGAGCAAGATGGGGTCTGTGATAACTGCCCAGCCTCCCACACGGATGAATAAAGCAGTACTATCGTTTTCTACTCTCCGCCTGCATTAGCTGGCCAGCTCAGCTGAGCCGCAGACAATCTCAGATCCCAGGTGGGTCTTAAGGCCCCGCCTGGACACCGGCCAGGCTGCGGAATGGTGACCTCAGTGAATCCTCTGGGTGGTCTGCAGGTACGCGTGACTGTCGCTGGCCTGTTTGCGATGCTCCCGGAGAAGAGTGTTAAGACTCACCTCTGACCTCAAGTGAGGATATCAGCTGATCTCAGGCGCGTCTAACAGCAGCCACTCGTCCTGTCGAAATAAGGGAGTGTTTAAATGGATTTAGAACAGCAGGGGGGCTTTTGCTGCACATTAAAATGCATTAAAGTTGGAAACACTCTAGTGAATTAAACCCTGTAATACCCAGGTCAGTGTTGGACAAGCCGCGGCAGAACAATTGCAAAGGCATTAGCATTAGCATGGGATCTGGCTGTTTTGCGTGTGATGTTGGCTTTGTAATTTAGTGGAACAAAGACATATCCACAGAGAGCAGCTCCGCTGGCTTTTAATTGAGTTAATCACTTTATTACTGTACAAAGACAAAAGATGAATGCACTTATCTGTTAACAGCAAATAAAAAATAAAAAAGTAAGACAGAAAAAAAAACGTTAGCGCATGTGGGGAATATGAAAATGTGTCTGCATGGCGGTCTTCTGGGAAATATAATCTTCAAATGCAATCAGTATCAGAGTTAATCTGACGGGAAGCACTCCTTGATAACGACTAAAGCTTTCGTTCAGTGGCACTTCAGCTGCTTAGAGGAAGATAAACGCGATGTGGGAGCAGACAGCCGCGAGAGTGGAACGATCCAGCTGCACGGACGCTTTGTGTTACCTGGGGGCGGAGGAAGCTCTGCGGGCTTCTGGGCCACAAGTTAAACTCCTGTGACGTATTCAAGGATAAGGACAGACTTCAGAGCGGGCGGCTTAAATGCAAATAAGCACTGTTAGATAAAAGCAACATCAACAACAATTATCATCTGTCCACCTTCCAACCGCTCAGCCTGGACATCATCTCAGGGGCTTGGGGCCCAGCAAATTCTATACATGCAGCTGGCAGGGGATTCCAGTCCCCAGCCCTGGAGGTGGAGGTTCTGTCCACTGAGCTACTGCACTGCTAATCTGTAAATACAAACAGCACTTACTGGGGACTCCTTCTAGGCAAACTGATTTTGTATATGTTACGTGTGACTAAGCATGGGAACATCCCCGCATGCATCATAAATCCCATCATTGACTATAAACAAGTGTTTATAAACAGTATAAACTTAAAAAGTGTTTGTTTATTACACTAAAATCATAAAACACTGATGTACCAAAAGCCAGGATCCTATAAACCTGTCAAAAATAGATAGGATTTACTGCATGGTTTATTGGCTGCTTTTGGATGAAGGCTTCTCGGCATGTATTTACAAAGGTGGAGTCGGGGTTCTACTTTGCAAAACACAAAAAAATGTGTCACAGCGATGACTTCCAACAGAACATTCAGTACAGAGTCACAGGTATGCCTAGAACCCATCCCAGGTTGCACAGGACAGAAGCCAGAGGAGGTAAACATGCAGAGTGGGTGTGGGTTTGAATCCCCAAATTCTCAGTGTGAGGTAACGGTGTTACTCACTGAGCCACCACGTACACCAGCAACCATTCCTTAACGTTAAATATTTCTGATGAAAACTATAAGGGTTCCCTGCGATGGCCTGCTTGCAGCTCTGTGACTATTGTTGATGTTAATGGGATGTGTTGTTCTGAGGAAACAGCAGTGCGATGCGTGTCCACGCTCCATGTTTGATGGATGATCTGTCAGAGTCATGGACGTAAAACCCCACCACCTCGCCTCAGATCTCCTCCCATTCACCTCCTGAAGTGATCAGACACACAGGATTCTGGGAGATGTGTCTCATCCCGAATGAGCAAACAGTGCGTGCCAAAATAAAGCAGACGCAGTAAATCCCACGCGGGGCAGTCAGAGATTCACCATTTCAGTTTGTGTTATAGCTCAGCAGGTCCCTCGAACCTCCCCCCATGCTGGTGAGTATGTGACCTCAGAAGGGACCTGAGGGACTTTGAACAAGGCGGCATGCCCTGGATTATAGGATGAGGAGACTTTTCTCTATGTGTCTTTTTATCATCTTGAGAAGATCTCATCATTACGCCTAGGAGCATATATATACCACCTAAGAAGCCTGGAAATCAGGCAATACTGAGCCTGCAGGAAATCCAGACCAAGCATGAGAGTCACGGAAAATCTGTACTTTTGGGCGTCCGAGAGGGTTCATCATTGGCGGTCTGACTCGCAATCAGAGAAAATCCAAGTGATCTGTTTGCACTGAAAATCCAATTTAAATGCAAAGCAGGCCCGATAATGATCTTCGGGCCAAAATGAGCCTAGGTGGGGTATGGCGTGATCCAAATCACTCACATCTGCATGCCAACGGGACAAGAAAACGAAAATAAAATAAAAGTCATCACACGCTGGCTTCCACAATAAATTAACAAAGCTGCCTGTTCATAATCCACATGTTCCAGCAGGTGACCGATGGCATTTCTTCCACAAGTCGGATGTTTCATCTGTTTTCATGCAAAGTCAGATGGGAAATTGCTCAACCACTTATACTGTACCTTAACTCCCCCCCCCCCCGAACTCCCCGTCATCCACATAAACCTGGAAGAAGATAAGGAGGATGTAGAAATGCAGAAAGCAGCATTCCAAAAATCAGAATACTTTATCTGTCCGTAAGCATTTACACAGTACAGCATTGCGGTGAACCTCGAGTCAATCCCAGAAGCACTGGGATGCAGTGCACACTCACATGAATGCACATACAGATTATTTGTAATTTAGAGACACAAATTCACCTGGCAGCATGTTTTTAGGCAGCGTGAGGGATCTCCGCATACACAGAGCCCAGGGCATCACCCTACAGCTCTGCCCACTGAGTCAGCATGCCACCCATCCGCATGCAGAATTACTGACCCATCTCCAGTACAGGTTCACAGTGGAAGCACAGGCCACACGGCAGGAGACAGCCTGGATGGGATACTGTAGGGCACAAACACTCACACGCGCTCATGCACTCGCACACCACGCCACAGGCAATTTACAGACAACAGTTCACCTCCCTGTGTGCGTGTTTTTGGCTGCAGGAGACTCAAATAAAGAAAGAGAACATAAAAACTCTAAAAACACGGAGCAGGGAAAGGACCCAAACCCCACAGCTCAGGCAACAGTGTTACCCACAGTGGCAGCGTTACAAATACTATCAGGGAACAGAAATGTAGCATGTAAAAAACCTAGTTTTTTAGATCAGTGGTAGAAGTATATGAAAACCTAGTGATGTAATACCCATGAGTCACATGACCAGTCAGGTTGCCCACAGTAATTAGAGCCTTTCAAAGCTCATTTGGTTTGACTTGGACTTGATATGAAAGTGTAAGGAAGCTATTACACCACAGACAGTGACTCAGAGAGTCAGGTCTGCCCGTCTGCCCTTATATTTACAGGGTGACAGTGTGACAAAAGCTCTGCATGGCTGAGAACTGACAGGCCCCAGTGACTGGACTGAGAAATCAGGTCGGAGCATCGGAGCGATTCGTCGTGATGACAGCCCGCAAGGAATTCCATCCGTCAGCTCGGGAATGCCAAGGCCGACAGCACCAATCCCGGGAAAGCGATCCTCCGCTTCCCGCCGATTTCCATTCGGGTCAAATGGCACGGTGCCCTGGGCTAATGCAGTCTCGCCTGGAGGTATAGTGGGTTCAGATACCAGGAGCCCTGGGGGGGGGCACCTAGCCTTTTTAAAGCCCCCCCTCGCCTCCTGAGGGCCCTGGTGACTGCGAAGGGAAGTCACACAAAGGGCCCCGTGGCACATGAACCGTTCTGCAGCGTGGGGGGGTGGTTTGGGGCAATGCAGCTTCGAGTAGGTCGTTAGTGCAGGTGCTCCCTGTCGCCCCCTAGTGTTTCACACTGTAGCGGGCCACTCCGCTGTCGGATTGCTGTCCGAACTGCAAAATTCAACAGCAAAGGGAACAGGGGCCGAGAGGGAGAGACACCATATCAGGGTGGCCATTCCAGCATTTTCTATTCAGCCTGCATCCGTGCGATTTGTTTTGTCGCGGGTAACCGCCGCATGGTTGCAGGGGACTCCACCGTCATGTCAGAAACTAGAACATTCTCCCTCCAAAACGTTCCAGCCAGGCAAGAAAAAAGACAAAAAAGCACATGTAGTTCAGGATCTTCAGAAGGAATCTACTGCGTGGCTTCAATTCGACTACCACGTTTGACAGGGAATCTGAAACCCTTCATCTGTCAAGGAAAGGCCAGATGAGGGTGGAAAATGTGGAATATGGAGTTAGTGTTCTTTAAGATTTTGTACAAACTGGGTCAAATCACTGCCTGATAGTTGTGCCCCCCTGCCTACCCAGCTGTGAAAACATAACGTTCTAGTGGTTGTTATGCCGGTTCACCTCAGAGACCGTACAACTTTATAGAGACGTAGGGTGAGCAGTAGCATGGATTGGATTGATTAGGGCGGACCGAGCAGCAATAAGCCATCAAGAGTGTTTAAAGCTTCAGAGGAAGGCTCCAGCATTATCTAGGGGGACGGGATGCGATTGAATGTGATGCCTTCTGGCAGCAAATCAGTGCCTATTGAAGGTTTTAAGGCGATGGTGACCATGAATAATGGAGACCTTAAGTCAGCCAATGAAAGCTAAATTGAACCAATTTACCTTCCTTGATTTGCCACGTTTTCCCGTGGATCTTCGCAGGGCCCTGTGCATCCACCAGCGCACGGGCTGCTGATCAAGTTCAGGCGCATGAGGGCCCAATCTGCGCTGCCGTTTGGGGAGCCAGGGGGCACGGCGCCAGTAGCGTTAGCTTAGCGCCGCACTACCGGCAGAATCCCACAGACAGGTTCAATTCACACCTTCATAAGCGGGCTGGGGGGTGTACGCTGCTCCAGTTCAATGCCTCAATCTGTTACCCCTCCCGTGGTGATGTCAAGGACCCTCAGTCTTGTCACGCTGCTAGATCCATTACCCCCCCCTCGCAGTACTCTCTTTTTCCAATAAGCTCTTAATGAGAACCAGCCCAGGGTCTGCAAGGGAGCAGAGGGGGATGACCTGAAATCCAACATTACGCCATGCGCAGGACTGCTCAGGCGCCCTCAGAGGACGAGCTGATAAACAAAACACACCCGTTCAACTGTTTACCGCTTATTAGCAGTAAAAAGGATCTAATTAAGGCATTAGAGTCCCCATTAAAGGCGCTGGCAGTCCTTTAAGGTTGGGAAACCTGCAGACACGTCCTTTAAAGTCTCCACGGGGATTTGCGTGCGTTTGCCATGTTCTGGCTGCATTACTGCAGCATAATGTGTAGCACAAAGCCAAAATCTGCATTTCATTAAAAGTGTGGCACATGCAGCTGTGTGAAAAACACGGATACGGGTGATTCCAGGGGAACTTCAGCTCCATTGTCTATGATGACAGGGTTTGTACTGGGAAGATAGGGGAGCATACATATACACGAAAAGGTACCCTGCCGGACAGCGTTCACACCATGCTGACACTCTGAGGGGCTATTTCTGGCTGGCTGCCACCCATTTGCCTTTTTTAAAACAAATTAATGGGGGGGTACATGACAATAACACGTCGGGGGGGGGGACATACATCGGGAGAGAGACCACAAGGGTAGGAGTCTCATTAAGCTTATTAGTTACCTTTAGTGTGTTTTTCATTGTAGTAATGACTAACATGCATTAAGACAGCATCTCAGCATCAGCAGGCACCGGTGAGGTAAACAAGACGCAGATACAGAAAGATTCCATCGTTCACATGGCAACCGGAGGATTGTGAGCATATTGCAGCATCACGGGGTTTGCTGTGGAGCTTATAGTGTAAGGAGGCTCCAGCATCGTGCTCCAGGATGTCCCAACGCAGACGGCACCCCCATTGGCGGGATACAGCAGCCGGAAATGTGCTACAGGTAAACCTCGGGTATCTGGCCACAGAGGGTGAATGAAACAGCTTCCAGGATTGTATTCCGATCAATTCAGCAGCTCAGGCAGACCTAAAATGGCAGCCATTCACCCGTACAACGTCCTCGGTGTCACCAGGCCTCCATCGCCGTGAGTGTGGAGACATTGTGGGTAACAGTGTCGCTCCAATACACATTCACCACAATGCCTGGATGACCCCCCCCCCCCACAGGGTGTGTTTTGGCAGGTGTGTGACATTCCACCTGGTGTCCACCTCCCCTAGAGGCACTAGTGGGCACCATTTCGCATCCTCCTGTGAGCACATACCTTCGAACCCGCTATCCTTCTTACGCCACAAGCCAAGGTCAAAAAAGTAGCACAGATCTACTTAAGCTACCTCAGAAAGCAGCGCCCGCTAATAAATCTGCCACGTTGACCTCTGACGGCGTAACACCTGTCCATGTTGTCCTCAGCTGCGGGTGAGCATTAATCTACAGAGCAGGGATGGAGAGCGATGGGAAGTGCCTTGGATTCCTGAATGACATGCTCTCCAGTGCATGGGGAGGATCTTAGACACCATGGGAGGACAAAAGCAAACAGTGGGGTGTGACAAAGGTGAGCGACCAACCAATCACACCCCCAACCAATCACATACCAGTATTGTAGTATGTCCCACCCACTCATTTAGTAAAAATTCTGCCAATGTCTTAAGACAACCACAAGGTCTGGAGATACCACAAATAAATCAACAAAGCTGGCTCATTTTCAATGTGCTCATCACCATCATTCTCATCATGAAGCTGTTTCTTTAAATATGCAGGGGGCCCCGATAACTGCCTGAACAATTTAAGGATTTAATATTGAAAAAAGCACAAGGTTAATTAAGCGGGACACTGCAGCTTCTCGGCAAGCCTGGCGGCCTTACGAGGGTCAGGGGTGCGGGAGCTTGATGACAGACGTTTAACTTGCAGCTTCATTTGTGATAAGCTGTTAAAACAGACAGAAGGTCACATGCATTAGGCCGCCAAAGAGCAGGCCAGGTGTCAAACCCCTCACAAACCTGAGAAAAACAGGCCAGGTCTCAAACCCTTCAGAAACCAGAGAAAAGCAGGCCAGGTGTCAAGCCCCTCACAAACCAGGGAAAAACAGACCAGGCTTTAAACCCATCAGAAACCAGAGAAAAGCAGGCCAGGTCTCAAACCCCTCACAAACCGGCGAAAAACAGGCCAGGTCTCAAACCCATCAGAAACCAGAGAAAAGCAGGCCGGGTCTCAAACCCCTCACGACCGGCAAAAAACAGGCCAGGTCTCAAACTCTTCAGAAACCAGAGAAAAGCAGGCTGGGTCTCAAACCCCTCACAAACCAGGGAAAAACAGGCCAGGTGTCAAACCCCTTACAAACCGGGGAAAAACAGGCCAGGTCTCAAACCCTTCAGAAACTAGAGAAAAGCAGGCCAGGTGTCAAACCCCTCACAAACTGGGGGAAAACAGGCCAGGTCTCAAACCCTTCACAGACCGGCGAATCAGCAGTGTTGGATGTTAGACGGTAAAATATTAAATGTCTCACACTGGTGTGGCTCAGAAGTCAGGAAAAAGGCTGCCCTATTAATATGCAACATGACACTCACAGCTAATGCGGTTTGTTTCATACCAAGGTAATGTCTTTCCTGGGTGCTTGGGGGGGGGGGGGTGTCACATTTATCCGTACATGGGATAGAATGGAACTTGATGTCATGTAGGGCCATGGGAGAAAGTGCTGGGGAGGCATTTATATGGTGCGTGATGAAATCCGAAATGCAGCCTTTGCAACACCGTGGGACCGTGGGGGGGGGGGGGATTACGGGGGCTAGCAGTGCTGTGCGGAACTGCAAGGGGGCTCTGCTGGGAAAGGTAAGCAGCATAATGAGGTCATAAGTTTATGTACCCCAAGAGCCCAATTAATATGCAAATTACCACTGCACTCCCAGAAGGAATAATGTAGTGAAGCAGATATTTAATCTAACTCTCCCTACAGGTAAAATGTAGTAGTAATAAAAATAATCACGATGATAACGATGTTGATGATGGGGCAAACCAAGAAACGATCTCGTTCAAAACCTCTCTATCTACAGGCACGTTGTTTATACTGCAGACCCGTCACTCGGGTCAGAGGCAGCGTGAATGGTTACTGAGCACCTTCCCCTCACTTAACCCCAAATCGCATACTCAGCTGTCAGCGGGTGTTCAGATCTCTCACCATCGGAAGAAAACGGCGCCCCAATTACACGACACTCCAAGCGAGCAGCGATTTAGCTGAATTAACTCCAACACGAAGAGTTAATGAGGCGAGCGGAGGATTTCGGGGTCTTAATGCTTGGCCCGCTAAACATGCTCACTGACATTAGCGGAAAAGATCAAAAGCATCTGCTATTGAGAAAAGGGTCTCCTTCTATACCCACTCCCCGATACCTGGCCTGGGACTCGAATCACTCACTGGCCACCTGAAGATCATAACTGATCTACTTTATATTTATTAATAAACCCTATAAATGTTTATGACACATCCAGTACTGTCCCTTACTGTCACAAAACTGCCAGAACATTCTCTCCCTCTCGTCAGCCTAGCACCTCCAGATAGGTTAATCAGTCCCTGTCTCTCCTTTCTCACTGAACATGTATTTTTCTTAACTATTCCTAGTTTACAACAAAACCACCTCATGTTCACTGCGTGTACACACTGGAAGTAATGGTTTCAGGGTCTTTAAGGATAGGAGCAGCGGAAGGTGTCTAGCCAAAGCAGGGACTCGTCATGACGAAGAATCCTGATGGAAATTGTCGCTGGGCATTTGCTGATGTTGAGCGGTGACCAATTTAATCGCCCGTCGCCACGGCGATGCCGAGGCTTACATCTTTCCTGAGAATTTAAAGGCGGCTCAGATGTCAATTTGATTTTCCTCCTCCCCCGGCGCTGATGGAGTCAGCATATGGACGGGGACTGAATCATACCAGCAACGCAGTATGCTGCAATAAGCCCTCAGCTCGGCAGCGTGGGGGGGAAGGAGGGGAGGTGCAGGGAGTGCGGTGCTGGGCGCTGATCGTTAGTGTTTCATTTCCGGTTCCTGTGTTGATCTACAGTTAATCGTCTGCACATTTCCTTGAGACGAGGCCACCCGAAATTCCTTCCCGATTTACATTTTAATAAATTAACAGACCCTTTATTAACATAAAGCGACATACTTATTTTTAACGCGGCTCAGACAATCCCTGGAGCAACTGGGGGCTGAGGGTGTTGTTCAGGGGCTAAGCAGTGAAATCACTTTGTCAGTCATGGGATTTGAACCAGCAACCTTCCAAACCCTAGCACTGTCTCCTAAATCACGCAGCCACACATTGCCCAGAAGCACACAATAAAACAGCATTTGGGTTATGGCTCCCTTTGATCATTATCTGCTCTTTCATTCACAGGGATGGACCCTCTTTACAGCCGGATATGTGGGACCCATTATGTTGTGATTAGCTGACACACCAAGGATCACAGCAGCCACAGCGTCCCCCGCCAATCACCCACCTCAATCAGTTTTAGTGTTAGCAGTTAGCTCTATATTAGCTAACATCCATACGTGTGTTGTGCGGCACAGGGAACTGCTCTGATATGTATTCAGTGCTCTTGTGCTCCAGTTCCAGTGCTATTGGGGTTGGACTGACAAAAAGGTGGACCTCCAGCACAATCCATTATGGACGTAAGGTCCAGGTCAAACATCTGCTTAATCAAGCTGGCCCCCATGCCAAAGCACTAGAGAAAAGTCAAATAACACATCCGTAGTCTCCTCTTCCCTGGAAGTTTATAGGTTCCTCATTTGTATCCTGTCAGCCAATCAGCAGCTAGACTGATTGATCAGGTGACTAAGTTCTCTGGCACTCTGGGGAACGTCTGCTGAGAGGTACTTTCTAGTTTCCTTAATTTTTCCATCTGATTTTGACTTCCTGGAAAAGACCCTTAATTGCCTTAGATGCTTGACGAAGGACCTTAACGAGCACTATGCTTAGTGTAGGTTACTCTATCGGACCAAACCATAAATACAAACTGGACACAGAGGGACGGGTAACTGGGACCCGGCTCTAGTGCAAACAGATTTTCCATTCTGCTGACGCCCTCAATTCATGTGCTCCTCTCAAGATCTGCCAACAGAAAAAGAGAGACATGCATTCTATAGTAAATGTTGACATATTGCCCAATAAAAATGGTTGAACCAAAGACACAATTTTCCATAATGTAAATTAAACATGAATTTGTTTTCTGGCTATAAACAAAATTAGTGTACTCTAATATATTACTCACTTGAGGCAGGAGCGTCTCCAATATCTCTTGCCAGTTCAGCTACTGATGTAACAGACTGAATGAATATGATGAATGAGTTGGGCAAACAGCAACCTTCTCTGCCCCAACAAACACAGCGCTGGGACTGGATGTGATTTTGTTTTTCTCAGGATGTTACATTCAGCTACTGAGTCGATCAGAGCCAAACACAAAGGGTGATTATTTACTGGAGCCTTTTGTCATGTGTCGTTATGCGTGTTGACGGATACTATTCCAGAACATTCCAGATAACTGCAGAATACGATCTTCTGTGCTGTGTGGATAAAATCTGCAGTGGTTGCATTTTGATGACACTGGAGCAGAGCTTTACTTTTTAATTATTCTCAACATGATTCCCATAGAGAAACATTTTCCCCATTTTCTCGAAAAACCAACCGTTGGTAGCAATTATTGTTATTCTGTGTTCAGCTAATTCCACCCAGAATTGGTCTCCCTCTCCAACTCAGCGGTGTTGCACCATCGCTCTCGTACAGTACAAGGTGAGTGGACTCCCATTGCAACGTTGAGTTTGCCACCGGGATGCCTGAAGCCCCAGACCGAAAGTTTGAGAGGAATCAAGGTACAGTGCTGCCAGAAGCTGATACGGAGTACGCACACCTATTAATAACAATAATGATAAATACTGCAGCTCACTGCTGGTGATCTTGTTGCGATTCAGGGCATTTCCAGTGACCTCAAGAGTCAGTGCAATGAACCTATTCATATCACAAGAGAAATGCAACGTAAATAGTTCCATCAAGAGGCAATGAAAAGGAGCTCTTGGGTCACCTGGGGAACAAACAAGACAGAGGGACAGAAGACAACCCAAGAATTTATTCTGAGTGACAGAATGGGGGGGGGGGGTAATTTCTCACTTTTCTAGAACCTCTCCGTCCCAAATGGGGGCACACTGGGCCTGCCGGAGAGGAATGACAATGTCTGCTCCCCAACCCCCCACCCCAACCCTGCCTCGTTGACATGCCAGGTCATCTTGGGGGTTGGCCCTGCCACAATTTCTAGGCATAATTAATAACCTGCTAGCTCAAGAAGGGGTCAGTTCAATAAAAGCTAATCTTATCTCACTTGTATATTTGCTGCTCATGGAAAACCATCAGAGAAGCGATTAGGATCTCGATCCGTGCATAAATCAAAAATTAAAATGCGGTTAGATTCTGATGGGGGGTACCTGTAATTCCCAATCATTTTCTGTATATACAGTATAAATCAGCACAAACCCTCCAGAGCGGGATGTTTTCATGAATGCAACAGTACATCTGGCAATAAGGGACAAGGGACCTGTGTCTTAAGATACAGTAACATAAGCAGAGTTGGCATTTTTCAACCAAGGAAACAGAGGGAACAGGTGACAGACCCAGGTAACCGGCTTCAGGGGGTGGGTGACAGACACAGTAAACCGGAGTGAGGGATAGGTGACAGACCCAAGACACTGGAGTGGGGGATGAGTTACTGACCCAGGAAACCAGAGCGAAAGTATGGGTGACAGACCCTGGAAACCGGATTGAGGGGACAGGTGACAGACCCTGGAAATCGGCATGAGGGGGTGGGTGACAGACCAAGGAAACTGGCACGAGGGGACAAGGGACAAACCTAGTTAAGTTCTCCCTAAATGAGCTTGATGGGTCAAATGGCCTCCTCTCATTTGTAAATTTCTTACGTTCTTATGTAGGAAACCAGAACGAGAGGATGGGTGACAGACCCAGGAAACTGGATCGAGGGGACGGTGGACAGACCCAGGAAACCAGCACTTGGAGATGGGTAACAGACCCAGGAAATCTAGACTCATCATCATACTGAGAACAGGGTTTTTTGGGAACCTGCTCTGGAAAGGCAGAATGTACACCATGTGGTACGGCTGAGAGCAACTCCCAGTTACAATCCATCATGGATGAATTATGGGGAGCCCAAACTCATTATATCAGCTTTCCGGAGAACAATCCCAGCCCACGGCTCACATAAACAAACAGAATTTAAGGCATTTGGTGATTAACTTGCCAAGGAACGAAGACAGAGTGAGGAAGTCACCCCCCCGGCACTCCCAATAAAACCAGGAGCATCACATCACGGCTCATACCCGGATAAAGATACACACAGCTGAGGCAAGCCTTAACCGAAGCAATCTCAGAATGATGTGGTTTCAATTTACACCACGCAGGGAGCGATGGCCTGTGATGCCACTGACGGCGGTGATTAATGACCAGACCTCTCGCATGACTCCAAGGGGGATGGGGGGGGGGGTTGGGGTGGGCCGGAGGCCCTCGCTCAGCATTGTCATGGCCTACCCTATCCCACAGCATCAGCGCTGGCCCATTGTGAAATATGACACGTGTTGAATTTAATGGCCTTTAGTGTTGAGTTCGCTGGCTAGTGGTGTTACGGCTCGCTTTTGTCTGTGAGGAGATAGAGTAGGATTGGGGGGGCAAGGGGGGGCACTCAGCGGGGCGTGGCGACTCCATAACTGCAGTGCATTTTACTACTATAGATTGTACTACTAAGCTCGTCCCCGTCCCCCCCAGAGACCACTCAGGGGTGGGGTGTAGGACTCCTTTATGATCTCAATCCGTTCCAGAAGCTTCTTCTCGGACTCGGTATGCGCTTCACAGTGAGGTTCAGGATCCCGCTGTAAAAACACATTACTGTCAAATGGAATGTTTTTGCATTTTCTGTTTCTTTGTTCAATCTGCCGTTATCACCCCTCTGGGTCTATTAAAAGTGTGAATTGATTGTAAGGAAACTATATGCATGAACTCGTCTATTTATGTTTTGGGGCAAAATGCCCCTACAAATCCCGCACAGCGGATCCTGCAAAGCGCCATCCATGTGTGACTGGCTTTCCCACCCACAAGTTAGCCCCACCTCTGAGTGGTGCTAATCGAAATTCCAATGCCCCACCCCTGTACCCACCCCCAACCAGCTGGCCCCCCAGTCAGAAAGAGCTGCGTCTCACACCCAAAGTCATGTCCTTGCTTGATCAATTGCAGCAATGATGGCAATGTCACAAAAGCCAGGAGCCTATTCCATGTCAAGCTTTCTCACACAAGCCACCAAAAACAGTGGCATCACACTGCTTAAAAATAGCCCCCTCCATTGCTTCTACTAACAAAATGGGTAAAGAGCTTCTTCTTCTGTGCTTTGAGTTGTGGCAGAAGGAGGACAGAGGTGTATTTATCACATACACTGAAATTTCCCCTCATGGGGGTCAATACAGTTATCTAACCCAGAGATGCATCAATCCGATATTCGGATCGGTATCAGCGCCAATCCAGGTCTATTAGATGAATCAGCTATCGGTTATACATCACTCAGTGTGTGTGAGCGCAGTGACTTCCACCTGCTGTGTTGTCATGCACATACCCTTTGCAGTACGAGGAATGCAAGAGCATCAGATATTAGGAAGACTAACTGGAAGTATTTTACGCTTTTAATAACAACTAGTAGAACAGCGATTTGCAATCTTTGTAAAAACAAAATTTTGAGAGGTGGAAGCAGCGTTTAGTGGAAAATCCCACTAAACAAAGCACATGCAATTGTGCGAGACAATGCGGGTAATATGAAAAAAGCAGTGGATGATTTGGGAGTCGCTAGCTTGGGTTGCGCACTCCCTACAGTTTGTGATACACAAGGAGCTGCGATCGCAGCGAAGTGCAAGTGACACTGTTGCCAAAGGGAGACAAACTGAGAGGCATTTTAAGCATTCGGCACTTTGCATATATTCACCTGGAAGATATTTAAACTGAACTGCAAATGCCCCAAAAAAAGATGTACAACGGAGGTGGACCAGTACGTTATGTTTGTTTCTAGTAGTCTAAAGATTTCTTGGCATACATTTTTCATCTGTATTTATCAGTTTTAAAATAATATAAATATTTAGACTAATACATATATTATATACACTCACCTAAAGGATTATTAGGAACATCTGTTCAATTTCTCATTAATGCAATTATCTAATCAACCAATCACATGGCAGTTGCTTCAATGCATTTAGGGGTGTGGTCCTGGTAAAGACAATCTCCTGAACTCCAAACTGAATGTCAGAATGGGAATGAAAGGTGATTTAAGCAATTTTGAGCGTGGCATGGTTGTTGGTGCCAGACGGGCCGGTCTGAATATTTCACAATCTGCTCAGTTACTGAGATTTTCACGCACACCAGACTGGTTTACAAAGAATGGTGTGCAAAGGGAAAAACATCCAGTATGCGGCAGTCCTGTGGGCGAAAATGCCTTGTTGATGCTAGAGGTCAGAGGAGAATGGGCCGACTGATTCAAGCTGATAAAAGAGCAACTTTGACTGAAATAACCACTCGTTACAACCGAGGTATGCAGCAAAGCATTTGTGAAGCCACAACACGCACAACCTTGAGGCGGATGGGCTACAACAGCAGAAGACCCCACCGGGTACCACTCATCTCCACTACAAATAGGAAAGAGAGGCTACAATTTGCACAAGCTCACCAAAATTGGACAGTAGAAGACTGGAAAAATGTTGCCTGGTCCGATTTCTGTTGAGACATTCAAATGGTCAGAATTTGGCGTAAACAGAATGAGAACATGGATCCATCATGCCTTGTTACCACTGTGCAGGCTGGTGGTGGTGGTGTAATGGTGTGGGGGATGTTTTCTTGGAACACTTTAGGCCCCTTAGTGCCAATTGGGCATCGTTTAAATGCCACGGCCTACCTGAGCATTGTTTCTGACCATGTCCATCCCTTTATGACCACCATGTACCCATCCTCTGATGGCTACTTCCAGCAGGATAATGCACCATGTCACAAAGCTTGAATCATTTCAAATTGGTTTCTTGAACATGACAATGAGTTCACTGTACTAAAATGGCCCCCACAGTCACCAGATCTCAACCCAATAGAGCATCTTTGGGATGTGGTGGAACGGGAGCTTCGTGCCCTGGGTGTGCATCCCACAAATCTCCATCAACTGTAAGATGCTATCCTATCAATATGGGCCAACATTTCTAAAGAATGCTTTCAGCACCTTGTTGAATCAATGCCACGTAGAATTAAGGCAGTTCTGAAGGCGAAAGGGGGTCAAACACCGTATTAGTATGGTGTTCCTAATAATCCTTTAGGTGAGTGTATTTTACTATATTAAAATATTAAAATAAAAAAATGTCTTGTATTGGAATCTGTATCGGTATCGCCAGTTGTGTATTGGAATTGGATTGGAACTGAAAAAATGTGGATTGGCCCTCTGAGCTTATCCTATCGTGATGCCCGGGTAGAAGCTGCAACTTTAAATCCCTAGTTTCACCCAGCAAAGCACACAATGATATAACAGAAAATTCACACCTTTGAGTTTCCCTTTAGGCAATATAATTCTTGCCAACTGAATTTGTCCTCCAAATGCTTAAATCAAGCAATCTCTCATGCTGCTAGGGATGATGTGATTCAAGGTTATGAAAAGTGTTAACAGATAAATTCAACACATCTACTGTGATAGACTGGCAGCCCCACACAGGATATAGCCCACATCGTGCCCCACGCTGCCTGGAATAGGCTCCAGGCCCCCCCCCTGACCCTGACCAGGATAAGTACTTGGAAGATGGATGGATTTAACACATACAGAACACAATAGGAACACCCCCCCCCCCCCCCCCCCCGTGTAGCAAGAGGGCATCACAGCAGAAAGCGTACCTTCAGAACCCCATAAACAGAATCAGGATCGGCTTAGGTTTGGGTGTTAGATTCGGGGACATAAAGAGCGGCAGTGTTTACCATCACTGAAACCACACAACTGCATTGGGCCCCTACGGTTTGAGGCCCCCTGCTGGCCACAACATTTCATACATTAGAAGGAGCGTGGGGCCCCTAAGTGACTTTTTGAGTGAGGTTGCAGAAACAAGAAACCCTCCCCTGGACGTAGGCGTGCCAAGGTCAAACGACATTCTGCGCAGATGGGTTTGCCGGTAATATGTACAATTTATAAATGGAGACAGCAGACAACAAATGGACAGCCAGCATAAGAAAGACAAGGCATATATATACACCCCCATCTATCCTGGAGATGCTTATACTGGACAGGGGCATACAGGTGTCTACTTGCCCCCACACACCCATCACTTAGTTCCACAAGCATTGCTGTGAGGTGGGGGGGCATTCAGCCAACATTCTTGTAAGTAAAGCCATTAAGAATACAGCCCCTCATTCCTCATGAACCTCTAGAATAATTTCATCAAGGTCAGCCCAACCTCTCATCCATACCAGACAGTCTCATTTTTAAAATCACCCTGTCTCCCCCCACACTCTACTGCTTGAGCGTTAATGTCGGTCGTGTACCAATACTCAAAGCATGTGTAGTCAGCGGTTGCCTACAATCAGTCATTACACTAAATATTAAACAAACACATTTCTCATTTATAGCATGTTCTGCTAACCAGCTAGCTAGCTACAATCTTCTGACTTTACTCACTAGCTATGCAGGTTGGGGGTAACAATACTGTGGACTGTCTGGGGGTCCACAAGGGTAGGTAAGAAACACTGACATACAGTACTGGAAACCCACCATGCAACAGCTGTAACGGACAAAGGAAAGATATCTGTAATTAGATAACAATTACCATTCAGTGTTCGTTTCTTGTTTTTTAATATCTGAATGTATATGAATGAAATTAAACGTGGAGAAAAACCAACAAATCTCCCATAACACACTGGCCTGCCTTCGATTTACAGCGCTGCACCTCCAAAGACGATAACCTTCCTGTATTCACAAATTATGACGTCGTTAAGGCTTCAACGTTGACGG